CATAGGAACTCTGGCAGAGACATGGATAGAATCCAGATTTCCTGGGTAGCATTCAAGTGTTTTAACCATGTGATCAGCCTTTCTTCTTCCTGCAGTCCCTTGCTTCATTTGCTGCACACCTTTGAGTATGCACAACAAATGAGGTAGGGGTTGAACAGACAACAATGTAATTCACTATATAACACTGATTCATTCCCTAGGCACTGGCTATCCTTTGCACTGAATGAGTCAGGGGTCCTGTGGGAAAAAATGTGATTATGTAATTAAAACCTATAGCATAATGAATACACATAATATTACTCCTAAGGGTATTCTGTACCTAAAAATTCTGTGCACAATATTTTAAAATTCCGCAAGTTTTCTCAATAAATAAATGCAGAGGCTCTGTGGCAGTGGGGAGCACAGGCTGTACAAAAGTGGGAGCTCACCCTGCAGCCTCCCCTCCCCCAAGACACTGACTCAGTGGTGAGGCTGCACCTGACCCTGACACAGCATAAGGGCTGGGCCTGCCCCAGAAACACCCTGGGGGCCTGTGCCAGGTGCACCAGGTGTGGGGCAGGCAGGCTCAACCGGGCATGATCCAAGTGTGACTCAGTGTGGAGGGATCCAGGTGTGGGGTGAGAGGATTCTGTGTGCAGGCATCTCACTGTGGGGTCTAGGTGTAGGGAGATCTGGATGCACAGAAGCTCGTTGGGGGTGGCGATTCCAGGTGCAGGAGCAATAGGACTCTGCAGGGGCTTCCAGGTGAAAGTGGTTGGGGCTCAGCAGAAGGGTCTGGGTGTGGGGGGGATCTCAGCAGAGGCATCTGGGTGCTGGGGGAGTGGGGCTTGGTGGGGTGGAGGTCTGGGTGCAGTTGGGGGTCCATGGCGTGGGGGTCTGGATGTGAGGGCTCAGGGGGGTGGAGCTCATCAGGGTGGGAGTTTGATTGTAGGGAGCTATGGGGGGGAGGGGGTCTGGGTGCAGGGGTTGAAGTTCAGTGGGGTTTGGGTATGGAGGGCTGGGGGAGTTCTGGGTGTACGGGGTGAGGCTTGATGGGGGTGTCTGGGTATGGGAGGTCCAGATGCATGGGGGCTGGGCAGATGGGGGTGCAGCTTCCCATACAGTGACTGCTTCCCCATCAACTGAGGAGCAATGGGGGCAGGAAGCAGGGGAGGATGCTGAGCTTCCTGCAGCTGGGGGAGATTTCTGGCGGTGGGTCTGACACAGCCCCAGCTACTCCTTGCAGGGGAAGTCCTGTCCTCTCCTGCCTCCGGCCCAGCCAGAACTAGCAGCTGATCCTAGCTCAGGGTAGGAGCCACTGGATGGGGTGTCCCCAGCCCTATGGTGATTTACCTCTCCACTGGCAGCTCTGGGTGCCTGAAAGAATGTACCTGCACAGCTAGGGAGTGGTGTGTGACTGCTCTTGCAGTTTCCCTTTGCTTCCCTGTCAAAGTCATTTTTCTGTGGGGAAGCAAAGAAATCTGCAGGGGAAATGAATTCTGCGCTACCACAAGTGCGCAGAATTCTCGTAAGAGTAACATAAAGAGGAATTAAGGTTGCCCAGGCAATCATTTATTAATGTATCTTTTAATGTAATTTACTACTTCTTTTTTTAAACAAACTGGAAAAAAAATTACACCACATGGAATTATATTGATCCCCCACATAGTCATCACCAGGGTTCAGCTCTTCAGAACCACAACATGGCCTTCTACCACTTGAACTAAGGTAGTAGCTGGTAGCAGAAAGTGGCTGTTCATCATCTATGTGGACTAATCATTAGAGAGTGACAAAACATTTTTGCCAGTGGTTTTAGAGATATTCGCTGACAGAGGAATGTGGAGACTCAGGGTTCCTGGTTTCACTTCCAGGTTCTGGAGCAGTGTATATTCTAGGGGTTACAGAATCCTGTCCCCCATCTGAAACTTCTTTCCTTCTATCCCTGTCCTCCCCAGCTTGTCTTCACTACAGGGGTAAGTTGATCTAAGTTGCGCTATTCCAGCTATGTGAATAATGTAGCTGTAGTCGACGTAGCTTACGTGGATTTACCGTGGTGTCTTCACTATGCTGCATCGACAGGAGACACCCTCTGATCGCCTTACCTTACTCTTCTCGGGAGCTGGAGTACCAGAGTCAACTAGAGAGCGCTCTGCTTCGATTGCAGCAGCGACTATCTCCCCAGTAGTGAAGACAAACCCTCAGTCCTCATACCTCTAATCTCCCTTGTCGTCCTTCTTTTTCCCTCCCCCAAACTTTTCATGCTTCTGCATTCAAGTTAGACTAACTTCTTTTCCATGCTGTCTGGGCCCCAGCAGTCAGATCAGTCAATCTCCCTGCTTTCAGTCCCAGTGCTTGGCACCTCAGCGATACCAAGCTTCCAGGAGGAGCAATTGCAGGGAAAAGTCTAGCTCAGCCCATTGGTCCTTGGGAGAGAGCATACTCTGTTGCTCTTGGGGATGGTACACATGCAATCTGGTTGACACACAGGAACTTTATGGTAGTGGAGGATGCTCAGTGCAGAAGGAATCTTTGGTGAATTTGGCTGTCAAGCTGCAACAAGCCTCTGAGCATGTGTGAACTGCTTGGGTGGATTGTGAAAGGGATAGCAAAAAGCGCACACCTGGAGCTAGGACAACTCCCGTTTGCCAGATTTCTAGTCTGTTCCAAAGTATGGAGGCGCTAGACCTTTTTAGTGAAACAGTTGTAAGAATCTGTTAAGAATGGCAAAATAATGTATATTCCCCTAAATTTGTTCTCAGACATGGCAAAATCATTTCCACCAAAACTCCTCCCAGTCGTCTTCCACACTCCACCTTAGAAAAATCAGCCAGAGACAGACAGCTAGCATACGGAATATCCGCTTGAATGGTTAGATTGGTAACCGAAAACAGGGCCTTATAATTGAAGCTGTTAGGCAGTGTTAACTAGTGACTACCAGTGCTACCTATGATGTCATAATGTTTTTACTATGTCTCCATTTTTTTTACATTCTAATGTTTTTTTGCTTTTTCGACTGCTGCACATTGAGATGTCTTCACTTAATGCCTAACAAGCTGACAAAGTTAGCCTCAAAACATTGCTAGGACACAAGGGGTAGAGGATAGGAGAGCTGATATGTTCTGTCTTACAGATGGGGAAATTGACAGAGGTTTGACTTGTCACATAGGAAGTCATAGGTAGAGCCAGGAATCTGATCTGCTGATTCTCTGTTAATTTGTTTGCCACAGCCGACCTGCCTTGTCTCTTCGCTATACTTTCCTCTATGTAAAAGTCTGACTTCGAAGTTTTTAAAAAGTGGTATGTTGACTTTAAGGCAATGTCTGTAATTGTAGATTCCAGTACTCAGTTCAGTCTTGATACTGAGTACAAGAATCAGAGTTCTCTCAGCACACTGGTTCATCAACCCCTTGTATATTAGCAGTTAACAAACCAATATCTTCCTGCTCCTCCATACAAATATTGCTGAAGGAGAAAGATTAGCAATAGCACGATGGTACCAGCATCAGAGTCGCAAGACATTTTTTGTGGTTACTTCTGAAATGTTAAATTTCAGTTTAGTTTGTTAAAGGAAAGTGCAGTAAACAGAAATATTACTGTACCCTAGTAGTGTATTTTTTTGTTTAAAAAAAAAAAGTTAATCAAAGCATTTATTTCAAACAAATTAGAAAAGCATTCTTCCACTAGAATATAAAAAAAAGTTGCCATAGTTACTCCTTTTGCAAAGTTGATGGTATAGTTTAGACAACTATATTTTCATTTACTCATTGTAATGTGTAACCAAATAATAATGCTAATATAAAATTTCTTCTCCTTGTAGATTTGTGATATTAAATTAGCATTCTGCAACATGCAGTCTGATATGAATTTTACAACTATATTCCCTGCTGGGCAGCATAGTGACATTTATGAGAGAGTTCCCTGGATGTAATTAAGGCAGTGTATTTTCAGTTTCCTTGCTTGTCGATATGATCCTAATTGATGCCTTGATTTGTTAATGGGGAGTTATAGTGAGTTTTAGAACTGGGAGCTGTAAGCTTTAGAAATGATTTTAGAAAGTTATAATTATTGCAGGATTCTTAAAAACAAAATAAAAACCCTGGTCCATTTGGACCCAAATGCAATTGTTATACCTTGCTTATAAAATGTCTTGAAACTGCCTAAAATATAAAAATGTTCCTGATATTTGTAAATCTTTGCAGGAAACATGAAAGAAAAATGAAACAGGATGAGATACGCAAGAAATATGGTATGTATGCTAATCTTACTGTAATGTCTGAATAAAGTTTTTTCTTCTCTGTTCACACTATTTAAATAGGCATATTCCCGTCATATTGGTAATGAATATGGACCCTTTCACCTCAGGATCTTGAGTCCAGGTTAATAGTGATGAAAAGTCACTACCATTTGACTGTTCAGTGGCCTAAGTAGAATAGACTGGCTAGCCTTAGTCCAGTTTCATGTGGGTGATAATTAGAATCCTTATTAGCATTCACAGCAGGAAAACAAAGATTAAGTGGAGATTTTGGAGCCTGAAGTACTTTCATTCCAGCAGTTAGTTGTTCCAAAATAGATTTGTGGCACAATAGTGAGAATGGGGAAGTATGAGGGAGCTTTGCACTACCGTTGCCTGTGTTGTGCCTCTTACTGGAGGACTTCATTATTCAGAGCTGTCAATCTTAACCCTTTTTAATTTGGTCTGTTCGTGGGGCTACTGATGCCGTGTATTCAAATATGTATGATAAAAAGATATACTGTGTTTTTTATCATGTAAATTACACTAGTATCAAATATAGTGATTCTGTATTTAGAGCTCTGACCAGCCACTCAAAACCATTTTAATTTCCAGTCTCTTGTTAAACTGATTGGCAGGAGCTGGGAATGTCTTCATCATTCTGCACCAAGTCTACTGGCATATGCAGGAGTGTTTTAGATGAGCACTAAAGGGATTTTCATGGATCAAGGAAGCTTGCAATAACATGGGCTCCTTAGTGAACCTTAAGAGTAGGAGAAGGGAAAATTGTTACAGATACTATGTAACTTTTAAGTGTGTATATAATTCACAAATTTTGATTCTGTAACAGTGTACATCATCACTGACCTTGGCCTTCAAACTTCTGTTTCATTTTAAAATGTTTGTTTGAATTATATGGGGGTAAATAAAACTTCAATCAGTGCATTTTGTTTTAAGATTGTTTTCTCCCGCTCCCCCCCATGGTGCTTTTGTTTCTATAGACTTGATGGGTTCAGTCCTGTGGGGTACTGAGCTTCCTGTAATATCCAATAAAGCGCTCAGCACTGAAGTCAGTGGGACTTCTCCAGTGCTTGAAGTTGAGCATTTGCTTAAATGCATTGCTGGATCTTGTCAGAATGCTCAGTGGCTTGCAGGATTGAGCCCTATAATCATTTGCGTTCTGGCTATAAATCTACCAAGTTCACTTGCAGATACATTCTTCAATCACATGCATGTCTGTGTCACCCTGCTCCCACTGAAGTCAATAGTTCTGTCACTGACTTCAGTGGGAGCCTGTTCCAGCCCCCCAGTGTGCAAGTGTAAGTCTTGACTTCTAATAAAATCATTAGATATACCCATATTTGCACACACAACTTGTTTACAGGGCAATTGCCACACAATAGTTTAACAATTAGATTTGGAAACTTCAAAAGTTAACTTTTTTATGAAATTGATTTATTTGCAAGGTGTAAGTTTCATCGCATTTTGAGACTACATTTATTTACGTTATCAACCCAAATGCAGTTTCTCATAATGAATAATTGTTTGATAGAGGCACCAAACTGGATTATGAAGATGTGTGTGGTTGAATAGGAAATGGTTGAAAGGAGAGAGATGTTATACCTTTAAAAAAGAAAAAAGAAAAATCCTCAAGCAACATCAAATGACTCCTAATATATTAAACTTATTCTGAAATAAATTAATCGAAAATAGTTCAGTACGCGAAATAAAGTACAAATGCTAATTCTCATCGTTGAATTACTAATTCTCATCTTTAAATATGATTATAAAAATAATTAAATGAGACCTAAGACAGGTCCTCAGCACAGCCTTGAAACTTCTGCATCTGTCTTCATTTTTAGCTGTCTAGTAAATAGTCTGATAAAAATTGCTGCAGAAAATTATGGAGGCACTAGATTATTTTACGCTGCCTCTTACACATTGCAGAGGGGATTCACTGTTAAGTAGGCAAAGATGAGTGGCAGAATGACAATGGCTTTGTTAACCTGACTCTCTAAATTAAGATGATCATGCCTGAAATGTCAGTCCTTGGTTGGCTTTAAGGGAATGCCTTTTTCCCATTTCACCCACTAGCTTTTCTTACCCCATTTAAATGGTAATTACACATTTATAATGCATTGCAAGTGTCGCTCACTTCAGCCATAGTCCTTTAGGAGCACTGGAAGCAATAGAGCTTTAGTAATGGGGAATATTCATTTTGAATTGTTTTTGTTGCAAAATTTGTCACTATTTTTCATTTGCTCGCATATATGAATGCAGTATGATTATTCAAATTATACATTGATGGTTTAATAACCTTTAAAACAGAATTTAGAGTATTTTCCAGCTTGTGTAACATACAAAGAAACTAGGATTTAATTGCCCCCATATTTGCTGCTATTGTACATTTGATATAGCATCGGTAAGGCCTGGTCTACACGAGGGTGGGAAGGGGGAAGGGGATCAATCTAAATTACGCAACTTCAGCTTTGTGAATAACGTAGCTGAAGTGGATGTACTTAGATCTGCTCACCGCAGTGAAGACACTGCGGTGAGTCGACTGCTGATGCTCGCCCGTCAACATCACCTGCGCCTCTCGCTCCGGTGGAGTACTGGAGTCGATGGGAGAGCGCTTGGTGGTTGATTTATCATGTCTAGACTAGACGCAATAAGTCGACCCCTGCTGGATTGATCTGGCGGGTAGTATAGACAAACCCTTAGATGCTGCTTTACTGTCTGTACTTTCCACTACCACCAAGCAAAAATCCAAAGAGCCCTACCTCTCCAAGATGATAAAGAATGTCCTTTGTCTTCCGTTACACACAATGATTACCCTTCATGATTTTGGGATTCCATACTCTTTGTTTCCTCTTAAATTGTGCAAAGACACTTGATAGTCATTCTAACGCTGCATAAGCCTATTTCTGTACTTTGATTTTACATAAGACATTTATGTTCAAAAGTTTATCACAATAAATAGTTATACAGTCCTAGATGGGTATATTTTCCTTTAACCTTCTGTAGTGTTCTGAATGCAAAACAGTTGAACTCTTCTAAATCATTAGTTTACAAATTTTGTAACACTTATTTGTATTAGCTTGTAACTTAGGAGTTGAGATATAATATGAAATTTAAGGAAGAAAACCTGTTTAATGGGGGAGAAAAGTATGCCTACAGTGAGAAAAGAGGATGGGGAAATATGTATCAAACTTCCTCCCAGACCCAATCTAGTACAATTAGTTTTCAGTGTGTATACTCTGAAGTATGGCTCAAACCCCATGTTTGGACTTTATTTGTAAAAGGTTAGGATCCCAGTATAAAATGTTAACCCAACATATAGCATAGTGAACACTATAGAGACAGGTATTTAGACATTTTCGTTTGTTTTGCCCAGTTCCCATATGTTGAGGCCTTGTACTTTCATTCTGTCTGAAGATGCTTGAGTCTGACAACTTTTAAGGTATCCAAGAGCCCTTAAGTAAAGTTGAGTAAACCAACTAACAAATCAAAATGGTTGCAAAGTATTAAGCCAAAATAATCAACTATAATGACAAAAACAAATGGAGCAATCTGCTTGTGGTTTTTACAAGCCTGTTTCCTCATGACCAAATTCAGAAGTGACCTGAGTCAACCCTTACAATGAGCTTCAGGAGACTTATCTAACAGGTCTGTGCTCTGAACTTCAAAGTCCAAACCAAAGGTTGGGTTTTCACACCTATATCGAAAGGAAAACCACCACAAGGAGAGAAGCAGCCTTGTGCCTAGCTCAAGACAGTGGGTGAGCTCTAGCTAAATTCAGCTACCTGATGACTTCCCGCTCCAGATCCTTCCACTTTTGAGCCACAACATCCAAGATGTGGCAGCTGGCTCTAGCATGTCACCACACCGACAATTTTGCCCATCTTATTGGTGGTTCCCCAGATCCTTTTTGCCCATCCATCACGTATGTAAAGTCTCCTTCTCCATGAAGGGCCAATACTAGCAATTCACTGCTGTCCCCTGGTCTCTGTTTCTAGTGGTGATCTCAATCTGCATTCTCAGATAAGAAAAGGAAAAAACTAAAAATGTTGGTGTATGAGGTATGGCAGATAGGGATGGGATGAATAAAAACAAAGGACAGGTATATAAGTAGGGCCCTACCAAATTCACAGACCATTATGGTAAATTTCATGGTCATAGGATTTAAAAAATCTTAAATTTTACAGTTTCAGATATTTAAATACCTGAAAGGGGGTTCCAAAGAGGATGGATCTAGACTGTTCTCAGGGGTAGCAGATGACAGAACAAGAAGCAATGGTGTCAAATTACAGTGGGGGAGGTTTAGTTTGGATATTAGGATAAACTTTTTCACTAGGAGGGTTGTGAAGCACTGGAATGGGTTATCTAGGGAGGTGGTGGAATCTCCCTCCTTAGAAGTTTTTAAGGTTAGGCTTGACAAAGCCCTGGCTGGGATCATTTAGTTGGGGATTGGTCCTGCTTTGCGCAGGGGGCTGGACTAGATGACCACCTGAGGTCCCTTCCAACCCTGATATTCTATGATTCTGAATCTGAAATTTCAGTGTTTTGCAGTGCGGGGTCCCGACACAAAAAGAGGCCAGGGGGCAGAGGGGTCGGTTTTGCCACCCTCACTTCTGTGCTGCTGCTGGTGGTGCCACTGCCTTCAGACTGGCCAGCTGCCCAACTCTGAAGGCAGCGGCACCACTAGCAGCAGTGCAGAAGTGAGGGAGGTCCGGTATGTCATTACCACCCTTACTTTTGTGCCAGCGCCAATAGCAGTGCATAAATAAGCATGGCAATACCATACCATACCACCCTTACTTCTGCACTGCTGCTTCTGACAATGCTGCCTTCAGAGCTGGGCTCCTGGCCAACAGCTGCGGCGCTTCCTGCAGCTGGGGAGATTCCTGGAGGTAGGTCTTATTCAGCCTCTGGGCGCCCCTGCAGAGGAAGAAGTCTGATCCCTCCCCACCCTGACCAGGACTAGCAGCTGAAGTCCAGAACATGGTAGGAGCCCCTGTCTGGGACATCCCAACCTTGCCCCTTCTCAGCTCCAGGCCCAGTGCTTGTGGAGGGGTGCAGGGGGTTGCACAGCACCCATGACCACAGCATCCTGGCCAGTCACCCACCCATAAGGCTGGCCTTGCCACCCAAAAGTGATGAACGCCCCCATAACATGCCACCCTCACTTCTGTGCTGCTGCTGGTGGCACTGCTTTCAAAGCTGGGTGCATGACCAAAAGCTGCTGCTCTCCAGCCACTCAGCTCTGAAGGCAGTACAGAAGTGAGCGTGGCAGTACGGCAACACTCCTACAATAGCCAGATTTCACAGGGGAGACCAGATTTCATGGTTCATGATGGGTTTTTCACAGCTGTGAATTTGGTAGGGTCCTACATATAAGGTATCTTATGACACTTTACTCATCCTGGGAAGGAAGGCCTACTGTTTCCTCTCTGCATTCCTTGTCTCCTGGAGGATAGGGTGAATGAAAATTCCTTCACTCATTTCAGGAGCCTTTGTTCTTGGTGCTGTGAAATTAAAATTTCTCCCTGTAATCTGGCAGGCTTGTGACCTGTAATACCTACACTGGAGTGACCTATAGGTTTAGGTCTGAAATATTTAGATACCCTAATATTTAGTATCCCTTTTAGGATAAAAGGAAACTCCTTGAAATTAAAACAAATGAAAACTAGTTAAAATATTAATAATTTGTGGAAATTACACTATGATATTAAGCCTAATAGTTTAGTAAAATTAAAACAAATATCACTATGAAAAGCATCTGCAGTAATGCTAGATAGGACAAAATTACATATGCTGTAATGTATGAGGACTAATGGTCTAAACGATCAGTGGCTGGGGTTAGAAGGATACTTCCCCTGTGCAGCATTATTTGGTTAAGTGCATTATAGGGGTTTCATACCTTCCCCTGAAGGATTTGGCATGTTGGAGACAGAATACCACGTCTATTAATTCTTGATAGCAGTGGTGACTGGAGCTATTCTGTGCTGCTTTTAGAATTATCATGTAAAGTATGTATTTTAAACCAATCTTATGAAAGGCAGGTGTTAATTAGAACTTTGCCCGGCAAGGTTTACACAGAGGCATAAAATAAAGGAAGTGTGTGAATTCCTTTCAGGGGAAAAATACGTTTTCACAGTGTTACAATTGCTGCAACTAAAAATGAACATCTAGATTCCTACTGATTAGGGCAACTAGTCAAGATGGGAACCTTTTTGATTAGCATAAGATTCTTTTTTTTTATGAAGGCTTCAAAGGATTTTATTTGATCAGAAAGACCCTTTCATCCCAAAATTCATTTTGTCACTGATTCTGTATTCACCGTAAGAAAAGGCTTTAGAAGTTAAGTTCTCGGAATTCTGTGTGCAATCTAATCAGTGCAGAGAATTTATAGTCTTAGTGACCAGTGTAGTAAAATAAATGTTCATATCTAGTATTGCTACTTAGCTTTACACAATATTTAGCTATATAAAATTATTTAATTTATTCTTAAATAGCTACTGCCAAGACAGGTTTATATCCAGAATGTAAAAAATACCTCTCTACATTCAACATGTCATTCATTTAAGTTTTTTTCCATATAAGGATATGATAATATCCATAATTTACTCCCTTGCTTGAATTGCCAAGGATATACTATAGCATTGCACATTATTCTACTGATAGATTTTACATATAATAAGGTAAGTTGTTTACTGGAGTATAGAAACTTCCAGAGGGATTACTGATGTAAAAAAATAAATAAATAGGCACACTCATATTATAAAGCCATGCACATTACTTTGTGTGTGCATATGGGAGTGTTTAAATTTTACTGATTCACTGTCAAGCTGCCAAAATTGATGATGATTAACCCCAATGAATTAATGAAAATTCTATTCCTTCTGAATCCAGTTTCAGAATATACATTATTGTATAGTAAGATACATCTGTCATACTTGTTTATGGTAAAACTTCTGTCAATTAAATTGATCTAAAAGATTGAGCTGTTTTTGATACTGGTTTAAGGACAGAAGACTATAAAATAAGTTATACACAAGAAGTATACAGGAGTGATCTTTTGTTTTGTCCAGGATTTAATCAGAGAATTTGAAAACATTTAGTTTTAATTTGTAAATAATAGGGACGTCCATCAAATTCACTAGATCTTATACATTCCCACCATTTATAAGAGACTGTTTTGCGTATTGCAAATAAAGCTTTGTATTATCAATGATTCAAGTAATGTCCTATCATAGATTTGAATCATATCAATGATTCAAGTAATTGTAAGATTTATTTTATTTTACTAACACCTATAAATCATATTACACTGTAAACATCTGTACAGTGTAAATACTTAAATATCTGAGAGTTTTTGTGGTCCTGGAAATAAATGAGATAAACACTCCTCTCCATGTATGCATGTTTTTTCACTAATCTAAATGAGTTACCTTCAGGCATTAGGGAACCCTAAAGAAATGGTGGTTTTCATCACATTTCAGCCTATTGTAAATCCCAAGCTTTCTATTGACAGGGCTTGAAAATGTATTGGCTATTAGCCAGTGAAGCTGGCTAATATTGTCTCACCCAGCAGTTGGATATCTTACTCACTGCACTCTGCTTAAACTGTACCTGTGACCAGTGCTTCATGCCCCTGTTTGCTTTTTTGCATTAAACAGAGCAGTGAATGCTCAGCACCTAGACATTGAAACACGTGTGTACACACCCTCTCCTCCTAGTGAATAAAGATCTGCTGGGACACAATGTGGAGGTTGGGAATGAATGGTAGTCTTCTTTCCTCTTCCCCTTCCTTGGCACTGACTGGGAAGAGGGGAATGTGGTCAGGAGCTTTACCCCATCAACCTATTTCCCTGCCACCTGCCCAAGACAAAGCAGCTAGGGAAAGTGGTGCTCCAGGTTTTCCAGGCATTACTTGCCAAAGCCTATATGAAGAATGTCAAAAGCCCTTCTGCTCCTTCACAGCCAGGGTCTGTCACTGGACCCCTCTGGGCCCCTTTATCCTCAGTATGCACTTCTGGCTAGTGGATGTCTGGTAAGTTTCTCAAGGTCTTGTTGAAAATTACCACTATATGGAACGGTGATTATTGCTGAACTAAGCTTTACAGAAGATGTTCACCGATACAATGTCTTTGCAGTGCTTTCTATGGCAATATTCTGGTTACATTAAAAATATTTGTTAAAAGCACACACTGTGACCTCGATTAGGTAATACCTTTATTCTTGTCCCCAGTAGTTTCCGTGAGTTTGCAGGTGATCTGTATTTGTCCTTAGAGGACATTGGCTGGTGTCACAGAACTACTGCGTATCACTGATTGAACTTGACAGGTTTTTGCTCAAGAGTGAAACACAATTAAGCCAGCATGATGACCTCCCACCTTTTTGAAAAGATGGGCCTCTTACAGCAAAGATGAATTTATTGGCAGAGCAGTTTGAAACTGTTTCTGCTTAGCCATCTCCACATCTAATCTTTGATAAAGTAAAGAATTGGCAAATAGCTACAGTATCCTTCACAAGTGAGAAATACTGTTTCTCCTTAATGACTTTTCATGAAGAAATCTCTCTCGCTTTTATGTTTTACTCTTCATGTGACGTTCATGACTTGGTTGAGAAATAAAATGACTTGAGTTTATTTCTAATGTACTACTATAGATGTGCAGTTGTATGTTATACCTTAAGACTAGGGTCCATTTTTTAAAATTCTGTATTTGTACAGCACCTAGCAGAATTCCTGGTCCATGACTAGGGCTCCTATACGCTATGGTAATGCAAATAATAAATACATGCTGTCCTCTTTTTCTCTAGGTCTCCTTCAGGATTCTGATCATCCTTACAGTAGATTTGAGAATGAATGAAAACAGACACTGTTGAATCTCCTCATCGAAAGCTAAGATTCCAGGATAAATGAGCACTTTTTTATTTTGCTTTTCAGCGGTCTTCAGGCTGCTTTTTTTGCAAGTTTTCAGACAGTAAAAATAAGTGCACAAATATCTACTAAAATACGTATATTTTAAATCTGGCATATTTACCTTTTTAGAGCTAAATTTTTATAAACACTTTTGGTTTTTGAAATGTTTGCCAATTGTGCTCTCATTAAATGTGAAATGTCACCTTTCCTCTTCTAATAAATCTTTTCTTTGGAATCTGATTTAAATAGCTTCCTAATCATGTATTTGAACTAATATCTTAGCTCACATTTCTCTTAAAAAAAAAAAAAATTCCTCTGTTCCCATTTTCCTAAATAAAGATTTTCTTTCTAAATCTGTTGTATGCATATAAGTGGTGGCAAGAGTAAAGGAAGTGCTTGACACTGCAGAAATATGGTATTGATGTTGACAAGAAATAATTACAGCATACAAATTCTTTAGTATCAAAATAGTATGTATAGTATTTTAAAGATGCAAAATGTGATTTTTTTTTTTAATTTTTTTTTGGCGTAGCATAATCTGATGTAATAGAAATGCTCGTATATTACCAGGCTGTGTCCTTGGTGTGGAGAAAAAAGTCTTGAGTTAGTAAAACGGGCACAGAATCTTTTTGAAATTCATGCAAAATCTGAATATACATTTGTATATAAGCTTGAGAGGTAATATCAGGCTGTTTAAAACACTTTCTTCCATGAACAGTTCTCTAAATTAAAAATACTGCATAATGCCAAGATAGCATCAGTTTAACAGTATAATGATTTCCTATTTTTTTACCTTTGAGTTTTTTGTGGGAAATGTTCATAATGCATTGAGTTCTGTCATCTTCCTGGTTTGGTGAATTTTTGTGGGTGTTTTTTCCCCCTTTTCTCACACAAATGCCTTCATTGAGCATTTTAAATAACTTGCTGACATGATGCAGCATGAAGAGGTTCATTCTTTTTTTCTCCTTCATATTTAATGTGAATTTCCAATTCCATATAGTTGGAATTTACTGTGTACGATCTTCTGCTGAATAAATTTACAGTACTGAAGGCATTTGTATATTATTTTTATCAACCTTGCTAGAGGAGAACTCTAACTAGACCTCTTGAATTCAGCTATCCATTGTTTTTCTTCCTAAAGAGGTCTTCTGTGAATAAAAAACATATTTAAGGAAATGATCAAATATAGGGTTTGAGTAGGGAAAAGGAATGCAATTTGGCTTTCTCTGGTCCTCTGACAAAGAAAATCTAACACCATGTACATACAATATGAAGTGGATATTGCCTTAGTATGGTCAGGTGAATTGCCATTCTTTGCAGTATCAAAATGCTTGCATATACTTAAGCTATTAGTAATTAGATTCTATCACTCATCTCAGACTAGTTTCCATTTTTGTTCTTTGTTGAGAATATTTTTCCTCAACAGATGTTTATGAAAACAAGCAACTGCCGGTTCTTGGATCCCCAGTATAATTGAAGACTTAATGTAATTCTGGAATAGTTTTTTTTATTTGCTTGGAACTCATGAAACTAGCACAATGGACTGAGCACTGTTTGCTATGTTTCTTGAACTGTCTACTGTTCTCAAGTCTAAAGTACTATTCATATGTCTGTCTGAAGAAGAATATGTGATAAGAGTGAGTTGATAGCATGGAAGTAAAGCATGGTGATTTTCCCAGGAGATGCCTTCGGTAAAAATGATGGAGGTCTGCCCGACATCTCTCAACTCAAATAGTGACATTCATGACTTAATAGAAAAGCATTTTTTTGCACCTGCTATGATATGTGAAAAGCTGTCATGTACTTGAACAAAAGGGGAAAAGCTGTCAGTATGACTTTTAAGGAATTTGTATTGGGTGAAGAAGCAAAATATTTTGAGCATATGGAATTAGTATTTTTTGCTCATGTTATGGTTTTAAATATAGGGTAGGTAGAATTGTGTTATCTTTCCATTAAACATACTGGTTTTGTAGCTCTTTTGCCAAAATTGCAGGCACTAAGAAAGTATCTATTGGAAACTATATAATCAGTGTCTTAGCACATATTGTGTCTGAACCTTTTTCAGTGTGAAACAGTAAATGGGGAATAGGAAAATGTAAAGTGTAAACAAATTCTCGTAACACTTCAGACTGAAAGTTTAGCATTCTATAATCCTGCTTCTATTGAAACCAAAGGTAAACTTTTACTGAATTCAGTATTGGACTGCAGTATCTCAACCATCTACTACAAAATGTGAAATAACTCTTGATGAACTTCTCAAAATACTTCCAATTTGGGGATGTATGTGCCTTATTTCTCAGCAGTTTGTCCTGAATTTGGTGTTCTCAGTTGTGACCCATGGAGGCACGATTACAATTACTTACATAAAAAAATGCTGGTTTTGTCTTAGGCCAAAGGTTGACACTCCTTGAATTTTAATTTAGCTCCTAGTAATTGAATGCAATAGCATTAGACAGATGTAGTGTAACATCTTTCTTTGTCAGTGCTCAGGTGTGTGCTAGACTCCTTTGTTCATTTTCAATAATGAGATTCCCTTCCCCCACATTCTGTGGACAAAGAAAACAGAATGATAGTATAAACAAATCTAAAGGGAAAAAAGTAACCACACCTATGTCTGATAAACCAAGTGCACATTGTTGATATTTCTTACTACAGATTTGCACAGTAAATATCCTCCCCTTCACTTAAACTGGTTTCCTTCATTCTGTCTGTTTTCCGTTTTACTTCAGCAGATATTGTCAGTTTTAGGACTAAAGCTTAAAAAGAGGAGGTACTATTTAAAAAAAAAATCCTAAAATGTTCTCATTTCTTTAATAAAAAAAACTTTTCAGAGTTAAACTTCTTAAATAACCATATTAGGAATAATAGGGACTGGGCTAATTTCATTTCCCAAGCAAAGTGAAAATATTAACTTGTATTGTCCTGCCAGATTCTTTTTAAATCAACCCTCACACTAAGGAGAGTAAGGGATACTTAACTTTTTAAGTATCCCTTACTCTCCTTATCTATGTAAAGTGTGCTGCTTACTCTTTAGAAGACAAATCTATGACTAGGGGTGTGACACTGACTTTTAAAGGTTTAAAACCTCACACTGCAGTGTACATGTATGTCTTTGCATATCTGAATGGATGAATCTCCTTGCTCGTTTTAGGTATGCACAGTAGCTGTCTTGCATCAGTGATCAGAGTCCTCATTACTCTCCTTCAGCACCCCCTTCCCCAATTCAGTCATTCTAGCAAACTGTCTGAATCCTTGACTTGTTACTGCAGGTGAACACTGAAGCTTTCCTCTCCACAAAACTGCCTTACAGAGTCAAATGGGGTAGCATATATTGCATCTGTGTACATTCCCATTACCAAAAAAGTGCAATTTACTGCACTTCAGCATTAAGTGACCATCAACTAGCTTTTTTGGCAAAGATCAATAGGAGCAAGTTAACCTCCCTAGATGAGAGGGTAGTGGGTGAGAGTGACTATATCCTTCCTTTGAGCATGTATTCTGAACTACTGGGTCTATCTTACCTCACCCCTTATTCTACAGCTGCTACTGTAACTGTTTGTTTGGCACTTTGTCATAAACCAGAGTATTGTGTTGAATTAGAACGTTTAGCAGAATTGTCTGTCTTCCATCTGGCCTCATTGTGGATAATTATACCTAATAGTTGTAGACTAGGAAGTAAAAATATAATGGTAGTGGTATATATTTCCAGTAGAGGAGGCAGAGCTATGAGGGAAAATACAGTTAGAAATAATAAATGCTACTCATTGCCCTAAATTTTTTCACTATCTGTTTTCCATCACTCCCCTGGAATATTGTCAGTCCTAGAAAAGAGACAAACATTGTGGGGAAAGGTGGCTTGTGTGAAATAGCAATAAGAAACATGTTGAAAGAAAACAAATGTCAAGAGATCTGTATTTCTAATGGGTAAGCAAAGCCGGTTTGTAATTGCTTGGCTGGATAAAATGTTCAAGAACAGTTCATCGGTGTGGGGAAAAATGTAACCCTATAATGCCAAGCTCTAAAGTGATTGGTGTAAGTGCTAGTTATGTAAGCAGAAGTTGCCTAAGGTCAGAGTGAGCTTTCCAAGATATTGTAAAAACCAAAATAGAATGAGGAATTTGCTTATTTGGACTAGGTGTTTTGCTTTTTAGAATGCATAAGCTTTTCTGAAATACATGTGGACTTCGGGGAGAGAGAGAATATTTAGCATAATTTAATTGAGATATATGAAAATCTGAGTCTTTAGAACAATACATATTTCAGTAGAAGTGCTTTTCTCCTGCACAGGGACTTTCACAGATTTAAGTATACAGAATAAAATTAATAAAGCAATATAACACTAGACTAGCAGAAACAAAATGTAATCATAGAAGCATACTCGCCATCCCTTCACCTAGCCTCCACCTCCCTCTCCCGAAATGCTTGCAGAGGGAAAAATGGATTTTGCAGCCTGCTCTGAAATCTATGAAATCCTAGCTGCAGAGGAAAAGGACAAAAGCCAGAGAGGCAGTCCCCTCATGAACATGTTATCTTGCCTCTGCTCACCTTATTTAAAGAAAGGGACTGCACCGGTTTCAAAATTGGCTGGGGGGAAGAGAACTAGCTCCCAAGAAGGAGCTTTATAAGTTTAAAAACAGCACCTTAAATTCCACGTTATTGAAACAAAGTTTAAAATAAGATCCTATATTAGCCAGTTACTTTCCTCTGCATCATCTGTGGAGAAGGAACCAAGCTGATTTGAAAATGTTTTTGAGATGCTGTGATAGGGTAAGTGTTAAACAAAAGTGTATCATGGGGTATGTTTGGGGACAAAAACCTAAAAACATATGCTGCTGGGTACATTTAGACACAGGCTTGGACTTCTGGATGGAAGCTTCACCCAGACTGCCCATACAGAAATTTGTGGGGTTGAATTTTGAAGACTTCTCAGTTGGCTTCTGGGGGAGAAGGAAGAGGATCTCAGCAAATTGGAAAACTAGACTGTAGTGAGGGAAAGCATTGCCAGGTTCTTCTAAGACTAGGCTGTCCTTAATGCAGTAAAAAAGTTACTGAATGCTTTGGTCTTATTTGTTTACTTGGGCTAAATAAAAGTTTAATGAATTTTCAAACCTTGAAGTCAGAGGCATAGTCAATCAGTAGCGTTTGAAGAGATCTGCAGGGCCTTCAAAATAAAGTTAAGAAAAGCAGCCAAGATAACCTGATATTTACAGTGAAGTGCCTGAGAGGAAGATTAGAGGGTTAAAAAAGGCTTTCTTTGATAGGGTGGGAAGCGGTAGAGATGGTATATCTTTATTTTAGTAAGGCTTTTGATGCTGCCTCGCATGACTGTCTCATAAACAAACTAGGGAAATGCAACCTAGATGGAGCTACTCTAAGGTGGGTGCAAAACTGGTGGGAAAACCATTCCCAGAGAGTAATTATCAGTGGTTCACAGTCATGCTGGAAGGACATAGTGAATGAGGTCCTACAGGGATCAGTTCTGGGTCGGGTTCTGTTCAATTTCTTCATCAATGATTTAGATAATGGCATACAGCGTACACTTACAAAGTTTGCAGATGATACCAAGCTGGGAGGGGTTGCAAGTGCTTTGAGGATAGGATTAAAATTCAAAATGATCTGGACAAACTGGAGAAATGGGTTGAAGTAAATAGGATGACATTTAATAAGGACAAATGCAAAGAACTCCATTTAGGAAGGAACAATCTGTTGCACACGTACAAAATGGGAAATGACTGCCTGGGAAAGAGTATTGCAGAAAGGGATCTGGGGGTCATAGTGGACCACAAGCTAAATATGAGTCAACAGTGTAACGCTGTTGCAAAAAAAGCAAACATCATTCTGGGATGTATTAGCGGGAGTGTTGTAAGCAAGACACGAGAAGTAATTCTTCCGCTTTACTCCATGCTGATTAGGCCTCAACTGGAGTATTGTGTCCAGTTCTGGGCAACACATTTCAGGAAAGATGTGGACAAATTTGAGAGAGTTCCGAGAAGGGTGACAAAAATTATTAAAGGTCTAGAAAACATGACGTGTGAGGGAAGATGGAAAAA